TGAAAAGAAATGCAATATTAATTTTTAAAAATAAATTTTTGTTAATGAAGTGAATGCATAAGTACCAATGGCTGTGTACATACAGTGGATATGTTGTAAATACAGAAGAAGGATAGAAAGAACAAGGCCGGCCATACATGGGTCGATTTCCAAATTATTTTTCGTTCGAAAATCGGACCTAAGAATAATTGACCAATTTTTGCTCTGTTAGTGGGGAAATGGTACCAGACGATTTTAGTGGTTCCTCCCCATTTCGTTTATCGAGCGAGTTGGAAAATTTGCGGAAAAAACGACCGATTTTTTTTAAATCATTGGTGGCACCATCAGATTACGTTTCCGATAGAAAAATCATTCGGAATTCGACCCATGTATGGCCTGCTTTAGGCATTACCAGTACTTGTACAAAGAGAGAAGCAGAACCATTGGCGCCTCCCTGAGGATGCTGGTGGTGACACATGTCGGTGTGGAGCCAACAGGTGCTGACGTCCAGGGGCGGACTGACCATTTGGAAACTCGGGCACTGCCCGAGGGCCCAGGGTCAGTAGGGGGCCCCATGAGATGCCCTTGATACCTTTTTCATAGGCTTTTTTGAGTGTGGGCAAGGACACAGGGGCCCCATGATCCCCTATTGCCCGGGGGCCCCATGAGTTGTCAGTCCTCCCCTGCTGGCCTCACTTCCACCTGAAACCGTAAGTACCTGTCACACACGGGTGGAGCCGGTATGTTATACAAAGGTGGATGTAGTAGTGCTCCTTATGGCGCAGGAAAATGCGAGCGGCATGACTGTAAAGTGAAAAATGGTTTTAATCACTTGCCCTCCGGAAGGTCCTGCCCCCTTCATGAACAGGGCATTTTTTAACTATTCAGCACTGCGCTACTTTAACTGGCTATTGACCTTCCCAGCCAGTGCCATTAGTACAGTGTACAGTATTATCACCGATTACTGTGTTAGTGTCACCGGCGTCAGTCAGTTAGTGTCCCTCCAAGCTAGCGTCAGGCAGTGCCACATTTCCCGTCACACTATCACAGTCCCACTATAAGTCGCTAATTCCCAGTACAGCGTCTACAGCAAATTCCAGTATTTTTCAAACTCACCGCACTACTGCCAGCTGACGGCTCCATCCCCGTTTGTCCTGAATGACCCGGACCCACGTCGCAGGTGGACTTACTGCTCACCAAAGGATTACCTTACCATGCTTTCTTACGGCGGCCATAGACGGGTCGAACATCGGCCGATTTTTTGGCCAAAAAAAAAAAAATCGCCTGATTTTCGCACCATTAGTGGGTTAATTGGTTGGCCGTTTTGTTTGTGGTTTTTGCACATTTTTTTTTATCGGGCATGTTGGAAAATTTGCAGCCGATTTTGATGATCGGCCGATTTTTCCCGGCAATGATAGGCAGATTGGCCTATTGTTTTAACTGATAAAAAATCTGCGCATGAGCCCTGACCTGGAAGACGAAGAAGGTGAAGGAGGAGGAGGAAGAGAAGGAGGAGAAGAAGAAGAAGAAGGAGAAGAAGGAGGAGAAGAAGAAGAAGTAGAAGAAGGAGGAGAAGGAGGAGAAGGAGGAGGAGGAGGAGGAGAAGGAGGAGGAGAAGGAGGAGGAGGAGGAGGAGAAGGAGGAGGAGGAGGAGGAGAAGGAGGAGGAGAAGAAGGAGGAGAAGGAGGAGAAGGAGAAAGGAGGAGGAGGAGAAGAAGGAGGAGAAGAAGTAGAAGAAGAAGAAGCAGAAGAAGAAGACTAAAAAGAAGAGGAAGTAGGAGGAGGAGGAGGAGAAGGAGGAGGAGAAGAAGAAGGAGGAGGAGAAGGAGGAGAAGAGAGAAGAAGAAGAAGAAGGAGGAGGAGGGGGAGAAGGAGGAGAAGAAAAAGAAGGAGAAGGAGGAGGAGGAGAAGGAGGAGAAGAAGAAGAAGGAGGAGGAGGGGGGGAAGGAGGAGAAGGAGGAGGAGAAGAAGAAGAGAAGAAGAAGAAGAAATTCCAGTCCGCTATTATATTTTATATGAAAAAGTCTTGCGGTTGCAACAATGTATCCATTTGTAAACCAATAAAAACATAATGTATTTGTATTGCTGTCACATTGTACGGTGCGCTCCCCTGTCTCTGCAGGGACAGAAGTTATGGGGTTAATGCCGGCCGTAGATGAGTCAAAAATTGGCTGATTTTTTTAACATTGGTGGTTAGTGAAGTGATATCTTGCTTACTACTCTTCATGTGATCACTAATTGGCCAATCAGTGATCACATGATCGGGACCTCACACAGAGGTCCCGTACAATGGTCGGTGCACTCCCTGTGGGTCTCTGTGCTTCTCTATGCAATGCGGGCAGATCATGGCTGGTAGGAGGGGCTGGCAGTGTGCTGTACTTAGCTGCCTGAAAACATCACGCCCCCCCCCCCCCGCCTTGGCACTCCTCTCCAGAGCTCTTGAGATATTTGTTAATGTAGCGCCTGTGTGTTTATTTAATGACTTCTTCCTCATGTAGGGGTAACTAGGTGGGCCTGATGGACGCCCCAAACCAGTTCATTAGGGAAATAATGACTGACGACCATGGGGACAGGAAGGGGGTACACAAGTCCCCCTCTTTCCTGCAACCTTCCTTTGGCAGGCACATTGTGGTGCTAAAGCACCAGATGCCCATCATGCAACAGAGCTTTGGGAGGGGATCCCCATTATTTGGGGAACCCTGTTGAATGCACCTCCCCTCCCCCCCCCCCCCCCACACCACTGTGCTGAAGATCAGGTGGCTGGTCATCCTAGTGGGCAATTGCACAACCACCATTTTCATGCTATGGGGATGCCATGATATGTGGTTGCAAGCCATAAATATGAACAAAGCATATCCCTATATCGTGCGTACTAGCCTGAATGCAGAGCACTAAGTGTCATTTCTGTCTGCTGCCTCCTTTCTCTGCATTGTGCAGGAGTCACATCTGACAAGTTTTACTGACACTAGGAGAAAAAGGTGACCTGAGTGAGCTCTAGCACACAGCCTGTGACTGACAACCTCAGCCTTGTTTCTTTGTGGTGTGTGAAGGGAGGTGTGCCCCTCCAATCAGCTTTCACTGAGCTTTGTTGTGTGTAATTTCAGCTCTCCACACCCTTTTTTTCTGACAGCTCAGACAAGCTTTATAAATTCTAGACTTTTTTCTATCTTTAGATGGCAGGGGGCAGGGATTTGATGTCACACACTGCACAGCGTAGAGGATGGAGGTGAGTGTAATCTGAGACCTGAGTGGAGGGAATGGACAAACCCTCAGTACACATTCTTTTAAAGTATTACTGAACCCACAACAGTACAATCAGTCTGTAGATGCAGTAAAGCATGCTTGTTATACTCACTGTGGAACCTAAGGGGTTAATCCTCTGCATTGTGTAAAAAGGCTGTTTGATCCTGTCCACTCTGCTCCTCCTCTTGTTCAAATGTCCACCTGATAAGACAGCCTCAACCCGTAGCCACATGCACATGCTCAGTTAAGTATCTATTGCTAGAGGTTTTTTTCCTAGGGAGAGTTCATGTGATCAGCACAGGGCCAATCAGCACTGTCCAGAGGGTCAAGGGTTCTGCATCCTTCTAGAGCAGAAAGAAAACTCCTCCTACAAGCTTTAACTAGTGTTCTGCGGAAGTCACAAGACTGCTCTAACTGCTGATGAGAAAAGGTATTTAGCAGTTTATATTTACTAAAACTATTGAATTTCCATGTTCTGTGTACTGTGGAGAGCAGATATAGTGAATGCAGGGTCCGGGGAGAGCAGATATAGTGAATGCGGGGTCCGGGGAGACCGGATATAGTGAATGCAGGGTCCGGGGAGACCGGATATAGTGAATGCGGGGTCCGGGGAGACCGGATATAGTGAATGCGGGGTCCGGGGAGACCGGATATAGTGAATGCGGGGTCCGGGGAGACCGGATATAGTGAATGCGGGGTCCGGGGAGAGCAGATATAGTGAATGCGGGGTCCGGGGAGAGCGGATATAGTGAATGCGGGGTCCTGGGAGAGCGGATATAGTGAATGCAGGGTCTGAAGAGAGCGGATCTAGTGAATGCGGGGTCCGGGGAGACCGGATATAGTGAATGCAGGGTCCGGGCAGATTGGATATAGTGAATGCAGGGTCCGGGCAGGTTGGATATAGTGAATGCGGGGTCCGGGGAGAGCAGATATAGTGAATGCAGGGTCCGGGGAGAGCAGATATAGTGAATGCAGGGTCCGGGGAGACCGGATATAGTGAATGCAGGGTCCGGGAAGATTGGATATAGTGAATGCAGGGTCCGGGGAGAGCGGATATAGTGAATGCGGAGTCCGGGGAGATTGGATATAGTGAATGCAGGGTCTGGGGAGAGCAGATATAGTGAATGCAGGGTCCAGGGAGACCGGATATAGTGAATGCAGGGTCCGGGGAGATTAGATATAGTGAATGCAGGGTCCGGGAAGACCGGATATAGTGAATGCAGGGTCCGGGGAGATTAGATATAGTGAATGCAGGGTCCGGGAAGACCGGATATAGTGAATGCAAGGTCCGGGGAGAACGGATATAGTGAATGCGGGGTCCGGGGAGACCGGATATAGTGAATGCAGGGTCCGGGGAGACCGGATATAGTGAATGCGGGGTCCGGGGAGACCGGATATAGTGAATGCGGGGTCCGGGGAGAGCGGATATAGTGAATGCGGGGTCCTGGGAGAGCGGATCTAGGGAATGCGGGGTCCGGGGAGACCGGATATAGTGAATGCAGGGTCCGGGCAGATTGGATATAGTGAATGCAGGGTCCGGGCAGATTGGATATAGTGATTGCAGGGTCCGGGGAGAGCGGATATAGTGAATGCGGAGTCCGGGGAGATTGGATATAGTGAATGCAGGGTCTGGGGAGAGCAGATATAGTGAATGCAGGGTCCAGGGAGACCGGATATAGTGAATGCAGGGTCCGGGGAGATTAGATATAGTGAATGCAGGGTCCGGGAAGACCGGATATAGTGAATGCAAGGTTCGGAGAGAACGGATATAGTGAATGCAGGGTCCAGGGAGACCGGATATAGTGAATGCAGGGTCCGGGGAGAGCGGATATAGTGAATGCAAGGTCCGGGGAGAACGGATATAGTGAATGCAGGGTCCGGGGAGACGGATATAGTGAATGCAGGGTCCAGGGAGAGCGGATATAGTGAATGCAGGGTCCGGGAGACCGGATATAGTGAATGCAGGGTCCGGGGAGAGCGGATATAGTGAATGCAAGGTCCGGGGAGAACGGATATAGTGAATGCGGGGTCCGAGGAGACCGGATATAGTGAATGCAGGGTCCGGGGAGAGCAGATATAGTGAATGCAGGGTCCGGGGAGACCGGATATAGTGAATGCAGGGTCCGGGGAGAGCGGATATAGTGAATGCAAGGTCCGGGGAGAACGGATATAGTGAATGCGGGGTCCGAGGAGACCGGATATAGTGAATGCAGGGTCCGGGGAGAGCAGATATAGTGAATGCGGGGTCCGGGGAGACCGGATATAGTGAATGCGGGGTCCGGGGAGACCAGATATAGTGAATGCGGGGTCTGGAGAGACCAGATATAGTGAATGCGGGGTCCGGGGAGACCTGATATAGTGAATGTAGGGTCCGGGGACACCAGATATAGTGAATGCAGGGTCCGGGGAGAGCGGATATAGTGAATACAGGGTCCGGGGAGACCAGATATAGTGAATGCAGGGTCCGGGGAGAGCAGATATAGTGAATGCAGGGTCCGGGGAGACCGGATATAGTGAATGCAGGGTCTGGGGAGAGCAGATATAGTGAATGCAGGGTCTGGGGAGAGCGGATATAGTGAATGCAGGGTCCGGGGAGATCAGATATAGTGAATGCAGAGTCCCGGGGGAGCAGATATAGTGAATGCAGAGTCGGGGAGACTGGATATAGTGAATTAGTGAATGCAGGGTCGGGGGGGGGGGGGGGACTGTCCATCCCTTGGATATGCTTGGTGTTCTTATAGACTGTCAGGAGCGACTCATGCAGGTAACAAGAGAAACAAACGTCGCACTAGGTGCTTCAGATTGAGGTAAGTACACACTCTAGAAGGGTATGCTTTGTTCATTTTTCATTTCAGAGGTTTACAACAACTTTCAGACACAATTTATAACTCTCTTTCACTCTCAGACACAGAACTTTCTAAAACAATACTAATGAAGTGGAAATGGAAGTTGCTCTCAGCTGAAAGTTCAGTTTTCCTTCCATGATCATCATTAATTGGAACATCTCCTGATGGTCTCTCAGATATCTCCGCTCATTAGGAGGTTCTCCGAGATGTTCTGTCCAAATCCTCAACAGCCATCCGCCTTGTTTTTGACTCATCAAGTTTCACACCTTCATGTTACTGTCAAATACTATTAGAATAAAATAAAAATAGTAGAAAAGTGTATTTTTCCAGATCTCAAGGCAGACTTCACCCGGCAGAAAAGAAAGAGAAACTTTTGTCACTCGGCGATACACAGAGAGAGGTGACTCCACTTACCCGAGACGGATATTTGACAAGGAAGACGGCAGGACAAATGGAGAATTTAGGGGCTGCGGAAAAATGAACAATAAGAGATGTACACTCAGTGTCCAGGGTGAACATGCCAAATTTCACCCCTCCCCCCAAGATGTATGAGCATTATTTGTCAGCAAAAATCCCCTCCCCCCCCAAGAAAATTGTGCACTAATCTGCATGCTTACTGCCTGCTCCCGCCTGGGTTCTTCCATCAGAATAATAATTTTATTAAATTCAGAATGATACTCACAAACTGAACGAAGTAGTAAATCAAGCATGTAAGTCCTCAAAGGAACTTGAGAAATGTGAAGCCAGTGCGAGTCCCATCGTAGGGGTAGACATTCAGAGTACGGCTGACGCGTTTCGAAGGGCGTCCCTTCTTCATCAGAGCTCAAGGTTGGTGCGCTTTATTTCTTGTTTCACTTTGCAGTACTGGTCGGGCTTCCCCAGCCTTGTTTAGAGCTGCACAATCCTATATGCAATGGTGGTCGAATTTTTCAAGTTCTGGTTCCATCCATCCACCCTTATTCTGGGTCTTAGAGCGCAGGAGAGGTCATTTCTGCTTCCATCAGAGAACTGATTCCTCACAGAACCAAGGTATTATAGCTGGGCATTGCCCCAAGGACTAGGCGACATTAGCTTAGGTCCACAAAATTGTAACTACTTTGTTGAACAGAAATACAGGTTTTTTTTTACACTTCAAAAGTAGGGGCAGTCCCCACATGAACAATAAAAACAAATAATGGATTAACTTCCCACACTAATTAGGTAACGACCTACATTTGACACAAGACTAATCCCATCATGTAGGAACCTCCAGGAGGACCAGCCAACAGACAGAAACTATAGGGTGACTCAATTCAATTCAATTCACAATGGGAGAAATACACAGTAAACACATCTTAATAAACAGATTACAGCGAGGGGCCCCATCATCAGTTTGTTTTGAGCTGACTATAATAACCTCTGGTTAAAGTCTCTGAGTCTAGGAGGAGGGGGGTTGAGTTTGTGTGTTTCAGGGAGATATGGACTTGAATTTGAAGTAAAACTATTCCAAAGGTCCAATCAGGCACACACCTTCCAAAGAACAGAGCCGCTCAGATGCCAGGGCCCCTCGTCAGTAGGCAAGAGGCTAGCCTGCAGTCCCCCCCCAGAAGCCCCTGTTCCAGTTGGGTCTGTCTCAGCCAGGGGCGGATTGACAACTCATGGGGCCCCCGGGCAATAGGGGATCATGGGGCCCCTGTGTCCTCACCCATGCTCAAATCACACCCAAAAAAGCCTATGAAAGGTACCAGGGACATCTCATGGGGCCCCCTACTGACCCCGGGCCCTTGGGCAGTGCCCGAGTTCCCCAATGGTCAGTCCGCCCCTGGTCTCAGCATAAATGCCCCCTCCTCCAAGCACAAATCAATGTCCCCCCCCCCATCCACGCCAGCTCAAATCCTCTCTCTCCATATACCCCCATCACTAATTCCCCCCCCCCCCCCCCCCCAAAAAAAAAAAATCCCCCTCCTAGCACAATTTTTTAGTTATATCTGTTCAGGAAGTGAAAAAATAGCCATCAATTCTGCCAGAAACCTTGTGAGCTGAAAACTTCCCATGGTATCTTATCAGTTACATTGTTCCCAGTTCTCTCTGTGAACTACAGAACTACTTCCTGTTATGGAGAAGAGGAGAGAAGAGAAGAGAAGAAGAAAATAGAAAATGTGAGAGGAAAATGGGCAGAGAGGTGGGAAGTAGAGAGGAGAGGGAAGGGCAGGGGAGAGGAGAGAAGTGGGAAGAGGAGAGATGATGAGAGAAGAGAAGGGGAGGGGAGAGGAGAGGAAAGAGGAGGAGAGGAGAGAGGATGAGAGAAGAAAGCAGAGTGGAGTGGAAAATAGAAGAGAAGAGAGGAGAAGAGATGCAGAGAAAGGAGAAGAGAAATGAGAAAATAAGAAGAGACAAGAGAAGAGAAATGAGAAAATAAGAAGAGAAAAAAGAGAAGAGAAATGAGAAAAATAAGAAGAGAAAAGAGAAGAGATGCAGAGAAAAGAGAAGAGAAATGAGAAAATAAAAAGAGAAAATAGAAGAGAGGAGAAGAGATGCAGAGGAAAGAGAAGAGAAATGAGAACATAAAAAGAGAAAAGAGAAGAGAACAGGAGGAGAATAGAGAGGAGAAGGGACAGAAAAGAAGGGACAGAGAAGAGAACAGGAAAGAAAAGTGGTGAGAGTAGATGAGAGAGGTGGGGAGAGTTGAGAGGGAAAGAGATGAGAGGAGGACAGGGGAGAGGGGAGGGGAGAAGACAAGAAAAAAGAGTAGAAAAGGAGAGGAGAGACATGGAGGAAAGGAGAGAAAAGGAGATAAGAGAGGAGAGTGAACAGTGTAGGAAAGGACAGAAGAGGGGAGAAGAGAAGTGAAAAAGAGAAGTGAGAGGAGGGTGGGTGGATTAGAGGATGAGAGGGGTGGGTAGAGGAGAATGGAAGTTAGAGGAGAGGAGCAAAGAGGAAAAAAGAGGAGAGGGGGAAGTGAGAAGAGAAAAGGGAAGTGGTTCTGTAGAGCCCTCCTAGGGCTCCTCAATGTGTACACTGGGTATTGTTTGTCACCCAGGACAGGAAGTGCGTTTCTGGCAGGATCACTAAGTAAAAATAAAGCCTGAAAAAAGAAAACCAATGCAGCCACCACATCCAAGTACCAATAAGCTGCAATATAAAACTATTTCTTAGGTTCAGAAATGCTTTAATGGGTTAATTCTTCATGTCTCGGCTGATTCAGCTTTCATTTTCAGCCACTTCACATCAGACAGGTGGAACATTAGCCGATGTATAATTAATGGCCCTCCACTTTTATCTAAAATATGTTTTTCATATTTAAAGACACAGAGGAAGGTCAGCCGTCAATCACGGGCTGCAGAACGGTGCCGAGCGCTGCGCCATGAGTAAATGGCTCGCCATAAAACATTCAGTGAGTTTAAAGGTAAAACCGGTCCAAGGATGGAGCTTTCCTTCTCTTTGACTTTGAAGACTTTGCCAAAGAAAGGAGAAGTCTTGTTTACGTTCCGCATCCCAATGAAGTGCTGTTTGTGCTTCCTACGTCTTCACAGCGCAAATACGTCTTCATGGCCTCGCTGTCTCTGCGCATCATATCTCAGCCGCCGCTCCTCTCTGTCTTATATAAGTCAGGCAATGCGCAAGGCTCAGCATCCGAGGACAACACAACTACATTGCCTTTCAAGCTCTGGTCACCTCAATTCAACTGAGACTGTCTTCCGAAGATGCCCAGCTACCAGGACCAGGGAGAGAACAATGATGTTTTTTTTCCCAACTCTGTTCTATTTACTAATTACATTTTTATTATCAATTTATATTTATTTTATTAAATTGTTTTATTAAATATTATCTCGAGTAACGAGCCGGGCCCTCTGTTTCCTCTTGTACCAAATTGTGTTGTAACTGTAATGCCTGCCTTCATTTTGTCATTTTGTAAAGCGCTGAGCAAACTGTTGGCGCAATATAAATCCCTGTAATAATATTAATAATAATGTTGTATATAAATCCTGTATTATAATAATAATAATAATAATATTGCATATAAATCCTGTATAATAATAATAATAATAAATAATAATAATAATGTTGTATATAAATCCTGTATAATAATAATAATAATAATAATAATAATAATAAATAATGTTGTATATAAATCCTGTATAAATAATGATAATAATAATAATAATAATAATAATAATAATGTTGTATATAAATCATGTATAATAATAATAATAAATGATGATAATAATAAATGTTGTATATAAATCCTGTATAATATAATAATAATAATAATAATAATTTTGTATATAAATCCTGATAATAATAATAAATAATAAGAATAAATAATGTTGTATATAAATCCTGTATTATTATAATAATGATAATAATAATAATAATAATAATAATAATGTTGTATATAAATCATGTATAATAATAATAATAATGATGATGATATAATAATAATAATAATAATAATAATAATAATAATGTTGTATATAAATCCTGTATAATAATAATAATAATAATAAATAATAATAATTTTGTATATAAATCCTTCATATTAATAATAATAATAATAATAGTAGTATTGTATTTACATCCTGTATAATAATAATAATAATAATGTTGTATATAAATCCTGTATAATAATAATAATAATAAGAATAATAATGTTGTATATAAATCCTGTATAATAATAATAATAATAATAAGAATAATAATTTGTATATAAATCCTGTATTATAATAATAATAATAATAATAATAATGTTGTATATAAATCCTGTGTAATAATAATAATA